AACAGATTCCCCTGGAACTGGAGTTACAGAGAATTGTTAGCTGCCATGTGGGTGCTGGGAATTGAACCTGAGTCCTTCACAAGAACTACCAGTGCTCTTAACCACTGAGTCATCTCTCTAGACCCTCATGTCTCCATTATTAAAGATTTTTATTTTATTTTTAATTATGTATATATGTGTGTATCTGTGTGTGGGTATGTGCACATGTGCATGCAGGTGCCCACAGGGTTCAGAAGGCAGTGTTGTACCCCCAGAGCTGGAGTTACAGGTGCTTATGAGTTGCCTAATGTGGGTGCTAGGAGCTGAACTCAGGCCCTGTGCAACAGTAGTACACACACTCAACAACTGAGCCATCCCTCCAGCCCTGTCATACTCATTTTCAGTCTGTTTGACTATATATGCTTTGAGAAAGCACATTATGGTATGCTAGTAAAATAAAGCAAATAGCTCAGGTCAACGCCATCATCTTCAGAAACCTATGTTCTCAAGACATAAAGTTAGGAGGACAGAAAAGAGACCTCATCTGTATAGTGTTTAACTTGTACTATCCAGATGTCATCCATGATTTTTAACTTAGCCACCAGATACTGTTGCTATTATAAACTGTTTATCACCCCAAACACCTAGGACCAGATGTGCTTCCAATTTTGATTTTTTTACTTTAGGGTACTTAGAGATACATAACAATCTATTCTGGGAGTGCCAACCAAATCTAAATACAAAATTAATTTGTTTCATATAGACTTTGTAAGCACAGACTGAAATTTTATTTACTATCCAAGATTTTTGGATTATAGATGTCCAACCTGTATCTTCTAGACATTTCATATTTCTCTGGTACTGATTTACATCTTGTAAACGTCAGGCATTCAGGGTCTTTCAGCTTCTTCCACTTCGAGCCCATGCTGTAGAATGCTAGTGAAGTCATCTTCACAGTCCAAACTGGCTCCTAGTGCATACATATCTACATCTTCAAGAGTCACCCTATTATCTTCAGCATGAAGTCTATATTCCCAAGTACGGCACGCAAGATAATTTATAATCTGAACCTTCCAGAATAGGTCCTTTCCCTTTCCAAGTGTGTTATGCTTCATCATTTCCCTTTATTATAATAATAGTAATAAAAATAAATAGGAGCTAAGCAACATCTTTGGTCTTTATGTACATGAATGAGCAAAAACATCCTTGCATATGTGGGTGTTACATTGTGATGGGAGAATATGGTATGCAGGAAGACAGGCAGGGACAGGTAGATATCTACCATGTAATGGCTGGACAGATGATATAGCGAATAAATTAAAAGATAAGATGATTGACAGACAAATGGATACAGAGACATGATGTCAAGTAGTGGTAACTGCAGCAGAAATGATGAAGTAAGACAGAGGAGGGGGAGGGACTATGTAAGAAGCGGGACAAGAGGCTATTTTAACTGAGTGGTCAGAGAACGCTTTGCCAGAACTAGTCATATTTGAGCCAAGACCTGGTAAAGGCAAGCACACAGCAATGTGCCTTATGAGAGAAGAACAGTCCAGGAAGGAGTGACAGCCAGAATAAAAAGCCCAGTGGCTAAGTGCTTTGTGTGCTTACAGAGCACTGGCAAGCCAGAGCTGCCACAGTATGAGGCGGGTAAAGCATGCCTGGCTGTGCCCAGGGAGTCATCCTTGTTAAATAAATTGGAGAATGGAGATGAGAGATGATTCAGAAAAAGGTGCTGAGACAAAATGTCCAGTAGGGTAAGAGATCTATTCACACCGTGGATAGTACAGGGCAGGCTTATAAAGTGAGATGCTTCAGTTCCACTAGAAGAAGTGAGTCCCCTGTCTTGAATGTTTCCAAGAGAGCAGAGAGGTCCCCCATCACAAAGCAGCAGGCTTGGTTAATAGGTAACCCATAGGACACGTCTGTGATACAGTGCTTCTAATTCCTGGGTGGTAGGCAGAAGGGGCTGATGTGATGCTCTGTAACTGCAGGGTCACAGCAGAGCCTGTCAGCTCCATGGAGCAGGTGTGAGGGTGAAGAGGCTGTGGGGGATGTGGTCTGAACTGTGAGACAGCAGCACCTGATCCTAAAAGAGAACTACTAGATTACAGAAGCAGAGCAGAGATTGAGCAGATGCTTTTTAAAAAAAGATCTGACTGGCACTGTACCGAGAAGACACAATCCAGGGGCCAGGGTAGAACCTCATCTCACTCAACAGCTCCAGTTAAAAATGCTTATACTGCTGCACACATTTTAAAGTCCCACTGGGTTCCCTCTGTTAAGACTCTTGACTTTAAGAAATGACTAGGTCTCAATTTTCTCTTTTTATCACCCAGCCTGATACAGAGCAAAGAAGCCTTGTACCAAGAATGCTTCATAAAACCCTTGTGTCAACCAGACTCACTGGAAGATAGGTGGTCAGACACCTGTGTGAGTCACCAGCGCATGTGAAGCAACATTTTCTCTTAGGCCTAGAGCCAAAGAAAGGTCAAAGTCAGAGTCCATGGGTAATGTCCGAAGGCCAAGAAGCAATCCCATAGTGAAACTGATCTCCGTGGCTAGCCAGAAAAAGCTACCACATGAAAGGAGACCATGAAGAAATAAAGAGGTAGGACAGGAGTTTGGAAGAGTGGGCTAGATGGTGTCTGAAGGGATGCTCAGAAGACTAAGCAGCCTTGGCCTAAGAGGGAGAGAGTTCCAAGCTCTCACCTCTGTATCTGTGGCTCTCACTGGAAAAGACTAACAAGAACATTTTTCCAAAGTGCTTTCCCTCCAGGATGATGCTAATGAAAAGTTATAGTGGGTCTATCCTGGGCTCAGGGCAGTTGGAGTGAGGTGGGAGACTTCCTTCCTAGAGGGTTGTGCCTGTGGTATTTTCTGAGCTGTGCAAATTTTGTCTCGTGGATCATCCTCAGCTACCAGCCTCCAATGGCTGTCTCTTTCCCTACATCTTTCTGTCCTCCCTCGTGAGATAACACACCACAAGTAAATGGAAAATATGCCCTAGCCCAAGAGATGACCATTCCCTACTATATAAACCTTTCTCAGATTTTAAAAAGAAAAATGTGAGAGAATTCCAGCCTGTCATAGGCGACTGATCCTAGAAAAAGTAGATAGTTTCCAAACACAAAATATAAAGGTTCAAATACACATAAGGGCTTATCAATACTCCATCCTTCAGCACTGTGAGGAAGTAAGCGTGATATAGAAAATATGTGCCTATAATTGAATTTCCATAAAAAATATTTGACCCAAAATGTTAAGAGGTTAGAAACCTAAACAAGATAACACATTCTACATGGTAAGAACTCAGACTAGAAGGCCAAGGAAAGCTAGATCTGACCCTCATCACATCAGTTTATGAGTAGTCCCATAACTTGCTGAACATCCGCCTTCTTACATATAAAATGAAGAATACTTAACTGCTTTCTAAGTATGCGCCCATATGCATGTCTATGTGTATGTAAGTAGATAATACAAGCATGGCAGTGAAAGACAAGGTAGTTAATGGAAGCAGCTCACAGTAGTACAGACATGCACATTCCCACTTTCCTAGTTATTTGAAATGGTCCTCTGATGAATAAAATGGGCTTTGCTTATCTGCAGTACTGGGGACTGAGTCCAAGAACTTGCACATGCTAAGGAAGAGCTCTAACACTTTGCTACATACCCAGCCCTGTTTTTACTTTTCATTTCTGAAAGAAAGTCTTACTAAGTTGTTGAGGCCAGTCTTGAACTCATTCTGTAACCAAGACAGGCTTTAAACTTCAGATTGTCTTGCCTCAAGTCCCAAGAAACTTGGATGACAGGCCTGTGCCACCACACCCAACAAGATGGGCTCTTGCTATGTGGTGCTAAACCAATGAAAATAATTTAATCTGTCATGTCCACGTGATGACTGCAATAAAACTGAATTAACCAGACAGAATTTTAGTAGATAGCATCATGAAACACAAAAGAAAAAATAAATATGGAACCCAGAACATTTAGGGATTTAATATCTTTAAAAAAATAGTACTTGAAAAACAGAAATCCCCAAGGTTAAAAAAGGTATAATCACAACCAAAATTATAAAAGATAAAGTAAAATTAAGTATCAATGACACCTTAGAAAATGAGCAAAATTTAACTTATTACTTTTAAAATTATGTAATCCAAGGTCATGTATACACTATCCAAGGTCATGTATACATTGGTTAAAAATGTCAATTTGTGCAGCCACTGTGAAGTCAGTATACAAGTCCCTAAAAATCTAAAATATACAACTACCATATGCACCAGCTAAAGCACCCTTGATGTGCAGCTGAAGGGGCAACGTCAGCACACAGCAGAGGAATCTGCATGGCAATGTCTATGGGGACACTGGTCACAACAGCCACAGCATGGAACCAGCCCAGGTGCCCACGGACAGATGAACACATAAAGAAAAATGTGGCATACATAATGAAGTATAATTCGGTCATAAAGAAGAACCAAGTCCTGTCAGTTGCAGGAAAGCAGGTGGAACTACAGATGTGGTTAAATGAGCAGAGAAGTCAGGCTCAGAAAGAGAAATATTCAATATTTTCCCTCATACATGAAGTCTAAGCTTTACGAAATGGGGTAGGAGAGAAAGCAAACTATTTGAGAAAAGGGGTGGGGCAAGAGAGGGAAATGGAGGGATAGAGAAAAGAAAGACTAATGAAAGCCTTCTATTTACATACCCACTGTCAAGGTGGCCTAGGTACTCGTGTTTATAAGTAAACAAGGATTTAAAGTAAGAATCATTACACTAGTAAATTTTACTCAGAAATACAATCAGTGGACAACATAGTGTTTCAAAAATATGAAAAGAGCTGCCATTTCTTAGTGTCAAAGTCTGTCCTGGAGGGCGCGAGATTCATGAGCTAAAGCCTCGTCGTCCATGCGAAGTCCAAATGTCTTATACTTGTGTCTCACAGCCAATGGGACGGGGAATCCGTGTATCCACAGTGACAGACCCAAGTACAGCGAGTCTCCTGGCCCCACGCAGTGCCCTACCTGACCGATAGCGTTCATCTCGAGACCCTGAGGATCTTCTGCGGTGGTAGCGGGATGCAGAGGAAGGAGTGACAGGCGCCCGTCGCTCTTGAGGCAAAGCTTGGTCCACCCCTGTATTTAAGGAAAAACAGTAGAGTGGAAGTGAGGCTGTGCTCAGTATCTGAGGCTAGGAGACTTTGTTAGAATAATTACTGACTCACTACATTCCCAGCACCTGGGGGTCCCTCCTAAGAGATCAACAGGAGGGTGAGAAGCATGCCAGGCTGAGGCTCAGAGGAGGTTCTTTCAAATGTAGGAAACCTCCTGTAGCAAGTGCTCTTTTACATCACAACTGTCCATCAAAACAAGTAAAGAACGATGAAGCCCAAGACATAGAATCAAATTATGATGTTTTGTTCAGTAAACAGACAAACCATAACTGCCCTGAGAAAATAAACAGTTAAAGCTGTCATTCGATCAACTTTAAAATACATCCTGTAGGTGGCTTTAATGTAACTGGACAGTTAGCTGTAAGTAGCACCAACGTTCAGTTTTTATTCCCCCAGTTATTCAGTAACTCTTTGGAAACTTGCTCCGCTCCATTTAATGCTGTGTAGTTGTATGTTATCAAGGGTGTACTGGAGAACAGCTTTATGAATTACCAAAAAATGTTATCTTGGCCAGATTCAAAGACAAAAATGGATCCACATCTGCCAATCACAGTATCTATTAGGCTGACATAATACAGTAGGAAAGGAACAAAATCTAGATGAAACTAAGAACTATGGGAAAGATTCCATCATTACAGTTCAGAAATAAATTGCTCCCATTGAGTGCTAATGACTACTGCTTCTTTAGAAAAGACCAGAAAAGAAAGTGATAATTGAAAATAGACATAGAGATATTGCTGCAACAAAAAAAAGTTAATGGCTGGATTTCTGTAACAGACAATTTTCACAGGAGCTTATTTTAATATTCCTTATCAGATGGTCAAACTTATAAAATTAAAGTTCTGTATGGTGCTGACATTTACATTCAGATTCACAACATGGATTTACAGTCCTGACTCTTCAATTGTCCAACTCAGACAGTATGTGGGCTTCTCATCCTGCTACTACAATTTCTACTACTGACATAATCAGCAGTATGTTCAGTCGGTGAAAAACTCTAGGGTCAGAGGAATGTAATAAAATACCTTCCCACTTTATGCTTTTTGATGATTCTGAATTTAATATTTATACCTTTCTATTTACTGCAATGTTTTCCGTGTACCTATTGCTGGCCCTTTCAAAATACTCCAACTAGAAAAACAACACAAACCAAAACCAAACCTTTCCTTCCCATACTTTTCCTCCCCTAACAACCTAGCAATTTTATAGTTCAATTTTTTTTAAATGTTCACTTGGAGCCTCCTCCTCCTCTAACCTAGGTCACTAGATGTGTTGTGCCATGTAGGAACCCTTTCGTCCTCGACTTGCTTTGGTTTTACATTATTGTAGGTCAGTGAGTGGGGTTCCTTAAATCCATCTTTGTCTTCTTTCTTCTCCTCCTATTTGAAGAAGAATTTAAAGTAGCTTCTTTAGAAAAGATGAAAGGGAAATAAAATATGGAGGCCCTGGGTATCCCAAAGGTGTCTTTATATTTTGGTAGGGTGGGTCCTAGACATAGAATTCTACATGAAAGTTATTTTCACTCATTGCCTTTCATTTTCATTATTTAATTCAAAACAGTTCAACACCACTATGATGCTATAACTTTTTTTAAAAAAACATTACACAATTTTTTATTATTAAATGAGAAAAATCTCATTTGTTACATCGTCACATTGCTAGTCAGAGAAATGCTGCAGTGATGAAGAAAGTCAATGTTGGATCAACCAAAGTCCTCATTTCTACAACATTCATTT